CCCCAAAACCCCAAAACCCCAAAACCCCAAAACCCCAAAACCCCAAAACCCCGATTTAAAGAATGAAGTTGAATTCTCAACGGAATAATATTTTTAGATTTTAATTATTATAAATGATTGGAAGGGTTTTCTCAAGAAATTTCACCAGGTTAGTGTTTAGACGAGTTTAGCTCCTTTTTATGACCTCTAAAGATCTTTTGATCCCTAATGGAGCCTGAGTGACGATCTAGAATTCATTTTTCTGGTATATAGGACTTACAAGCACAGTCTTAACAGCCACACTATTCAAGAGTCTATTATTCGCTCAGAATACGCCGTAAGAGGTGCTATCGCTATGAAGGCCATGGAGATTGAGAGACAGATGGAAACTGGGACCAAGTTCGGATTTGACAAGATCACACACCTCAACATTGGTAATCCTCAAGATCTGGGCCAGAAGCCTATTAGTTTTAACAGAGAAGTCCTCGCTTCTTGTTTGGTTGACGATCCTGAAAGAAATAGGATGATTTATTCTTCTGATGCTGTCGATCGGGCAGACCACTACTTGAGCCATATTAACCACAGAGCTGCAGGTGCTTACTCTGACAGCACTGGGATCAGGGTTGTCATGCGCGAAGTAAAAGACTTCATTGAGAAACGAGATGGAGTTGAGGTAAATGAAGACAACATCTACCTAACCAATGGAGCTAGTGAGGGCATCACTTATATGCTAAGATTACTTATCAAAGACGAGAACGACGGAATCATGATTCCTATCCCTCAGTACCCCATATACTCAGCTTTGATTACGAGGTTTAATGGTAAACAAGTCCCTTACTACCTTGATGAAGAGACTGGATGGAGGATGACTTATGAAGAGCTTGAAAAAGCCTACTTTGAAGCTACAGCAAAAGGAGTGAACGTCAAGGCTTTGACCTTGATTAACCCAGGAAACCCTACAGGACAAGTAATGTCCCAGGAGGATCTTGAGAAGGTAATCAAATTTGCTCATGAGAAGAGAATCTTTCTTCTCGCGGATGAAGTATATCAAAAGAACATCTATGTTGATAAAGAGTTCTGTTCTGTAAGGAAGGCCTTACATGGACTTGGAGCTCCTTATAGCAACGATGTTGAGTTAGCCTCCTTCCATTCTTTGTCTAAAGGACTTCTCGGAGAATGTGGCCTTAGAGGAGGCTACATGGAGTTGCACAATGTCAATGAATTTGCTCATGCTATGGCTTATAAATCGAAAGCCGTAGGTTTATGTTCAAATATTATTGGCCAAATAGGCGTTGGCTTATTGGTAAGTTCAAACTCTCTAAACTCTAGGTAAATCCTCCAACGGAAGAATCTGTATCAAAGGAGGTCTACGACCTTTACAAGAAAGAAGAACAGACAATTTTTGATGGTCTTAAGCATCGGGCTAATCTTATCACAGAAAAGCTGAATAACATTGAAGGTGTTTCATGTAACCAAGTAGAAGGTGCAATGTACGCCTTTCCAAAAATTCAGTTACCACGAGCTTACTGTCACTTAGCCAACACTCTAGGCATTCAGCCAGATTTGAAGTAATATATCTAAACTAATTCAATAGGTATTGTCTTGACATTCTTGAAAAAACAGGCATAATGATCGTCCCCGGTTCAGGGTTCGGTCAAGAGGAAGGGACCTTCCACTTCAGAATCACCAATCTTGTCAACTGCTCCCTCGAAATGGAGCGGGCCTTAGACATGATTGGCGAATTTACTGAAGACATTATGTCTCAGTACAGATACAAGGGAGTAGAGACCGTGAAATTACCTCACGAACCTATCCTTGACTCTGAGTATCAAACCATTTAATATGAATTCTATAGCCTAATTGACTAATGGGGTTTTGGGGTTTTGGGGTTTTGGGGTTTTGGGGTTTTGGGG